TATATATATATATATTAGGGATGTCCGATAATATCAGCCTACAGATATTATCTGTCCGATATTAGCTTAAAAATGTAAAATTTCTACATATTGGTATCGGCTTTTATTCTGATAACAAAAGCCCAAGATTTGACCAAAATGTGTTAATAAATGCTTGTGGTCCAGAGACGTTCACCGATGCGCGTTTGATGACATCATCAAACTGGATTATCTCAGGGAGAGAATGATCCAAACTATTGTTTGTGACAAAATGTTAAAAACAAATATGGCACTTTTTTCCTAACTTCAGTTAAATGTTTTTTTTTATTTCTGTACAGACATGTTTACCTATGGAATGCATCCAGTGAGGTATCAAAAAGCAGGCATAATGTCCCTGACAGGAGATATGTGATGTCACTTTAATATTGGTTTGTAATGTCAGTTAATATCGGAATCGAAAATTAGGTATTGAACAATATCGACATATCGAATATCGTCAAAAAGTCAATATCGAGCATCTCTAATATATTTAGATTGTAACCTTATCTATTTCGATAACCATCTAATTACATGTATGTAGCTCTGAGATACAAATTTAAGTAGCTGGTGTAAAGCTGCAGTTAGTGTGTAAATCAACAAATTTGTAATAATTTTTTTAACAAATACATCTGTTGGAGCAGTTGCTGAATAACTAAACATGTTATGGACTAACATTATTTTAATTTATAAGAAAAKAAAATAAACATAAAACAGCTATTTTAATAATAAAATCAATACTATTCGAAGTATTTCCGGTTAAGTCACAACGCTCACTATGAATCCTGGGTAATGTAGTTTTTTGCTTTGTTATTGTCACGTGATACCTGTTAGCATTAGCCCTAGCTTGTGGCGTTCTTCACTGTAGATATCTAAGAATAAGCCTTAAAAATGATGAGCGGGAAGACGGTAATAGTGACCGGAGCGAACAGCGGGATAGGAAAAGCCACGGTAGCGGGGATAGTGAAGCTCCAAGGCCGGGTGATAATGGCCTGCCGGGACCCGGACAGAGCCGAGGAGGCGGCCCGGGACATCCGCCAGCAGAACGGGGCGGACGGCTCGCAGGTGCTGGTCAAACAGCTGGACCTCGCCTCGCTGAAATCTATCCGGACTTTCTGTGAGAACATTATGAAGGTAGACAGGCGACTCTTCTCATTTAAAAAAGTAGGATAAAAGCTGCATTTGAAAACAATAAGTTATATTCTCTAATTTAGCATGTGAACATTACATTTCATGAAGAAAAACACACTGCTATTTTGATACATTCAGACAAAATGTTTATAAATGTTTAAAGCGTGAAAGGTGGAAGCAATATTGTAAAATTTACAATAAATAAGTAATAATAATATTTACAAGAAATATGCATTTAATGCATATTTCTACATATTCTTAAAATGGATTATTCCTGCAAACCCACCTGGAGATGTAAAGTTCTGGCTTCACACCATCCTGGTCTTTGTGGGCCACTATTCGTTTTTTTTCCCCAGCAGGTCTTAAAGTTCTGCAGAAGTCTGTTAATCTCTTATTTATTTAAATCAGGTGTGTTAAAGTAGAGAAACGTCTAAAATATACAAGATAGGGTCCTCGAGGACCAGCATTAAGGACCACAGTTTTAGAATGAAAGTATTCAAAGTCAGTAGGGTTGGGCGATATTGGTAAAATAATTAATCACGATTAACTGTGGTATTTAGCCGATCTTGATTAATATGACAAGTAATCCCCTGGAGTCCCTGGGCGCCTGCATGTCCTAGTCACATGACCAATTTAAATCACTCTTGTGGGAAAGATTTGCTCTGGGTAAAAATCTGTTTCAAATTGTGTCAAAAGTGCAGACTTCAGGCGATACATCAGTTTTTAAATTGTGTTGATAGTCCAAGTAAAACCAGTTACGATAAATTACAGAACTTATTTTATTAAATGCTTTCAGTTTCCACAGTCAAACTGTTTACATGCATACAATAATGTTAACAGCTGACTAAAACATATTAATTGTTATACACAAACAAAAACATTCAGCTTTCATACACACCTCGTTGGCTGCACAAAACCAGGGGGAATAATCTCTTTAAAAATCAACTTTCTTGACAAAAAAACTTGATAAACTTGACAAAATATAAAATGTCACTTAACCAGAAAATCTTCTGACCTAATTTTAAAGTTAATGTATTCTCAAAAATAACAACACAATAGATAAAATACTAAAATAACTTGTAACAGTTAAGCTCATTGGGCCTCATGCAAGAACCGTTCGGATGCACAGATTTGTTCTTAAGTTGTGCGTACGAGTGATTTAGGAGAATTTGTGGCATTCACCAATGTTTTCGTATTCTACGATTTTTTTTAGATACGAACAAAATTCACGAGTGGTCCAGACCTGTCGTATATTTTACCAGCAGTCAGTCTGCTGTTATCCAGATGGAGTTAGTTTGAAGTTATTTTGAGTTGAAAATAAATCACACTCCATAATTATGTTGACAATAGCCTATTCTGCTTGAATT